CGTCCTTGGAGATCCTCCGCGTGCCCGGGCCACCCTGGCAGAGGAGAAGCGGGCAAGAAATAGTCCTTGCTCGCTTTTTTGTTCTCCGGTTCGCTTGCTTCATGAAAACCCGCATTGCATTCCGAACACGCAGACGCTACAACAATCGACCCCGAGTCTGCATTTCACCAGACAGCAAACCGATCGCAACAAGCAACAAAGGCGGATGGCTCAGCAGGGTGCACCATAAAATTGTTTTTTGCCATATGGTCCTGCCACATCGACGATTAAACGAGATTCGATAGAGCCTATAGGACTTCGCTCAGTCGAAGGTCGCAGGGATCTTCTGGGCAGTCTCGCTTGCCTCGGACACCTGCACGATGCGGAAGCGCTCCCAGCCCCAGTCATGTGGCAGGTCCTGTGGTGACTTGTGGCCGCTGCTGTCCATGGTGCTGGAGGACATCCGAATCATGCGATTGTGAAGGGTGTTGTGGAACACAAACTGACCGTCTCCAGCAGGCACCACCGTGAAGCGCTGCCAGGTCCACCAGCTCTGCAAATCAGACACAGCGTGGGGAGCACTGCTTCCCATCGTTGCACCTCTCATTTCCAGGAAGCGGTTGTGGAAGGCGTTGTGGAAGGCGACCTGACCATTGCCGGCATCCACCACGGTGAAGCGCTCCCAGTCCCACCAGGCTGGCAGGTCGTTGACGCCCATCTCCGCGCTTCGCTGGAGTGCAGCCCCATTCATCGAGACATAGCGGTTGTGTACGGCACAGTGCAGGGTAACCACAGTACCGGGCTGCAAGTAAGGCCTTACCGGCACAATCTGGAAACGCTCCCATGTCCAATCGCCCGGCATGTCCTGCGGGTTCATGTGGGCACTGGCATCCACCTTATCACCTGTCATCCTGATCATTCGGTTGTGGCCAGAGTTGTGGAACATGAACTGACCGTGACCAGCAGGAAGCACAGTGAAGCGTTCAGAACCCCAATCAGACGGAAAGGTATCGGGAGCTTGAGGGGGGCTGACTAGCATTCGGTCACCGTGCATCTTCAGGTATCTGTTGTGGATGCTGTTATGGAAGGCGACCTGGCCATTGCCGGCATCCACAACCGTGAAGCGCTCCCAGGTCCAGTCATCTGGGAAGTTCTTGTCATCCATGTGAGGGCTGACGCCGATGGTGCCTCTGAGCGCGGCTTCACGGGCAGCCTGCTCAGCTGCTTCACGAGCAGCCTTCTCGGCCACTTCCTTCGCAGCCTGTGCGGCCTGCTGGGCGGCCTGATTGGCATGCTTTAGGATGTTTCCGAACGAGCTTCCGAACCAGCCAGAAGAGGATTCGAAAGTCTCGTTTTGACTGTGGTTCTCCCTGGCCAGCAGAAGTGCGCTCGGTGCACCTGGAAGCATCTTGATGTAGCGGCCATGATGTGGACAACGGAGAGCCACGACAGTACCCGGCTGAAGATATGGTTTCAAATGCACCACCTGGAAACGCTCCCATGTCCAATCGTCTGGCAATTGCTTTGGATCCATATGGGAACTGAAATCCACAGTGTCTCCTGACATGCGAAGCATCCGGTTGTGGTCTCTGTTGTGAAGGACGATCTGGCCATTTCCGGCTGGCCACGCGTCCCACTTCTCGGAGCCCCAGTCTCCAGGAAGTTGATCCACCAACCTGTGAGGGCTGGCTGCTCCCACCCCCACGAAGCGATTGTGGACAGCGTTGTGCAAGGCATACTGTCCATGTCCCGCATCCACCACGGTGAACCGCTCCCATGTCCACCAATCGGGCATCTCCGTCGCCCCGTTTTCAGGACTTCGTTCCAAGGCTTCCCCGTGCATCTTCACGAAGCGGTTCCGGAGCTGGCTGTGCAGGGCGATGGTGGAGCCTGGAACCAAGATTCGCTCTGCTGGCACCACGCGGAAGCGCTCCCAGGTCCAGGTGGTCGGTAGCTTCGGAGGGTGCGGCGGGTGGTCGCTGAATCCCGCACCGTGGCCTGCCATGTTCAGGAACCTCTTATGGGGCTCGTTGTAAAAGGCGATCTCACCGTTTCCGACGTCAACGACCGTGAAACGCTCAGAACCCCAGTCGCTTGGCAACTCATGAGCATTCCGTACCGGGCTGACACCGCCTATTCCCACAAAGCGGTTGTGAATTGCATTGTGCAGAGCGATCTGCCCATTCCCTGCGTCCACCACAGTGAATTGTTGCCACCGACACCCTGCCGTCGAACTGCGTGATGAGCTTCGTGGCATGGACGTCGTCGCTGCTGCCCATCTCATAGGTAATGACACCATCGGGATCGTCACCGGCCTCTGAAAGGTTTGCTCCTGTTTGAACGGCAGCCATCTCTTTTGGAGGCCAGCTCCTGCTGGGCGGAGGGAGCTGCCGTGTGTGCGACTCGATGATCAGGTTGGTGCCCTTGTAGTGCAGCATGGGCGGCTCACCAGCAGCTGGAAACTTAGCTGTGGCGGCCGTTTGCACCAAGGATGGGCCTTTCTCCATCGCCTTCTCCACAACCGTCGCGGCTATCCTGGCAAAGACCTCGATGACCTCACAAACATCACATGCCAGCAGCTAGCATCCCAAAACCTCAGACCTGAACACCCACGATGCCCCGTGCCTCCGTGAGGATGTCGCTCATGCGATTCAGGTAGCTCAACGGGGGCACCAGCTGGATGATTTTGGTGCCGAGGCACTCGATGATGCCCTGCGTTTTGTCCCCATTGACACAATTAGAGATTCCGGCCGCCAGGGTCATCTGTGCGTTGATCACAGCCAAGGGCGCGGTGGCAAGAGTTCTGAGCGGCTTGGGCAGCATGTCTAACATGGGTAGGTCAACTTCTTTCCTGCCCCAGTCCAAATTGAACGAGGTTGATCGACCCAGGAAGGAGACGGAGCAGGACGGGCGCCCAAAGTCAACATAGAGCTTGGTGCCGTCCACACCAAGCGATGGAGCAACGTTGTCACAACTAGCGCTGGGGGCTTTGGCAATGTCATGGAACTCTGGGGGCAGCATGTCATGCACGTTGACTTCCTTCCTGCCCAAGTCGAAATCGTACAGTGTAATGCTTCGCCCCAGGATGGTGGCCGAGCAGTACCACTTCCCAAAGTTGATGTAGATCTTGGCGCCATCAGCCCCAAGTTTTGGATCAGGTGCTGGGCAATTTGCGCCAAACTGGCCTCTCGAGGCTCAGGGATGTCCCCAGCGAAGCTCCCACAAGGTGCAAGGAATCCCCAAGCTTCCTGAACTACATCGAACCCACAGCACGCTCTGTGCCCGTCCAGGCCCTCACCCTGCCTTTGCGCACGGTCCTGCAGGGGAAGCAGCCAACGCAGTCTACGACCTACGAGTAATAACTTATTAATATCAATAAAAATCGTAATTACAGTAACCATGATAATAAATTGTAGCAGTAATAATAACAATACTGCAGTCTTGCTTTCGGCAACCCCGCACTCTTCGACGGCAGCCGCAACTAGTTGCGGAATGTCCGGAACTCCGGGAGCGTCGGGAAGTCCCGGAACTCCAGGAACGCCCGATGGCACTGAGGGCACGGGCACTGGCACGGGCACTGAGGGCACTTTCGTGGGAACTTTCGTGGGCACTTTCGTGGGAACTTTCGTGGGAATAATGGGTGGTGCTGGTACGACTCGGCGTCTCAGACCCGGGGTTGGAACGCCGGGAAAGAAGTTTTCTCGCTTTTGAAGCAGGGCCCTGCGCGGTCCAGGGCTCTCCTCGCCTGGGCTCTCCTCGACCTCCTCGTCGTCTTCCTCCAGCTCCTCAGCCTCGTCGGTGTTCGGCTTCGGCTGATGGGCCTCCGGATGGTACTCCCGGTGCTTTCGCTGGTGGGCGTGCTTCTGGAGCACCCTCTGCAGGACGTCATGGGCTTCCGGCATGCTCTCCTCGGATTGCTTCTGTGCCATGGAGACCTCCGCATCATCGGTGTCGATCTTCTTCAGCAGCTTACCAATCAAAGCCTGCTGCATCTCCGCGAGGGTTTCAAGCTGGGCGACTTTCAGCATCAAGAACTCCAAGCTCCGGCCCAACTCGCCCATGCCCCCGCCCTTCTCACCCGTCTCGGAGCTCTCGTCACCCTTCTTCTCCATATCGGGCAATACGAAGTCGGACTCCTCAACATGAAGCAAACATGTATGTCTAAGTCAGGCAGCAAGTTGCACAAGGTTGCAAGGGTGCAGGGACAATCACGTCCAGCATTTCGCCGACCAGGATGTGTTCAACATAGCCGCTCAGATTCTGGACCACATCCGACACATTCAACATGTCGGGATCCGTCTTGTTGAGCTTGCTCGAAAGCTTGTAGGACCAGCCGACCTGTTAGTCCAAAATTTTGTCAACAAAGACACTGCTCTAACCAAAGGGAATTCAGCTTAGGAGTCTGAACTCCAAGACTTCAACACTTTCTGCCAAAGGACCGGGGTAAGGATGCAAAGCATCCAAACGAGCCATGTCGTCTGCTTGCTGCGTAAAGGCATGGCCGAGTCGGTCGCCACGCTTGCTTCGTTAGATCAGAGGGATTCTAAGCAAACTGCTAAGCTTCTGCTAAACTGAGAAGAGTAGCAGCGCAGCAGCGGATAGAACAAACACATGCCAGCGGCTCACCGACAGAAGAAGTGAAGCGATCAGCATCTCTGATCCATTGCGCAAAGAAGGACGATCGAGGCTGTCCCAACTGCGCGCCTCCATGGGCAGCACGTGGCACGGATCGCTCCGCCAAGCGACGCGCTGCTGGGCATCCTGTGAAAAAGCATGCACATGCTAATGGTGTATATACTTATATTTTCTTATATAGGATTCTATATATTACTACAGTATACGTATATTCTTGATATAATATTCTATATTACTACAGTATACTTATATTTTTAAAAGAATATTCTATATATTACTACAGTGTATCATTTACTATATCTGTAACATTGTCAGGACTACCAGCAAAGGGATTCGATTCGCAAAGCACATCGGCCAGTCCTGTTCCCGGTATATAAGTTGCTCACGTCTGGCGTCCAAATCCAGCATCCTCACGCCTTGGGATCTGTTTCAATAACTCTTTTATAATGCGAGGCTATGATTACACGTCAGCCTTTCTCAGGAGATTACAAACGACATGCTTTTGACCTCCCAGCACCCCGAGTTGATGAGTTGCTGACCGCTGTGACGGTTGAGAGGTGTTGCAGATCGAACTGACACTCCTAAACCCTTTTGCAACTGGCCTGCTGCGACTCTGCCAGCCTGAGCGCACGAGTCGCTTACTCACTCCTAAACCCTAAACCCTAAAACCCTAAACCCTAAACCCTAAAACCCTAAAACCCTCAACCCTGAACCCTAAGCGAGTGTCAGTTCGATCTGCAGCGCTTGGGGGATTTAAGCAGTTCTCGCTTGAGTGCTTTAGGGCTTCAGGGCCTTGGGATTTGAACCTGAGGGCATCAGAGCGCAAGACAAATCCGGGTCGTCGGCTTTGGACTTAAAGGCCCTACTTAACCCCTAAACCCTAAACCCCTAAACCCCTAAACCCTAAACCCCCTGCCAGCAGATCAACCTCCGAAACAGACCGAACACATGCGCAGCAAACCAACTCGACACCGAACAAGATCAAACCCAACCAATCCCTATTAAGAAGATTCTGCTAAAAGCCCTGGCAAGAGCCTGTTCAGACCCCTGCGATGTGAAGCCCCTCCAAAAACCCCCTGCAAGCCTCTCTCAATAGAGCCTTTCACCATGGCCCCATGGTACTCTGGATTCTCAGACCCTTACAGAAATCTCCAGCAACCCAGTGGGGTCTTGGCATGAGGAGAACGATGTGTGACCCAACAGGACGGCTTCTCGATTTCATCCCCCCGCCCCGAACCTTGTCTGAATCTCTCCATCCCCTCCAAAAACTCTCAGCTTTCACGGCGCTACTGTAGGCTTAAACCTGCGGTGCCCCAACCATCTATTCTAAGTTCGATTCGGATTCGAGGGTCCCTTCCTATACTCGCCATGGTAAGGTTTTTCCCACCCGCCCAGCTGACGAAGTCGCAGCGTTTAGGGTCATATGCTCGCCATAGTCGCTAATCCAACGCAAAGGTGCAAACAAACATGTAAAGTCATCAGATGCAGACCCCTACTTTGGCTTATATTTTTGGGACGTCGGAGTTGTGCATGTTTAGTGTAGCTGTGAGGCCCACTGTGGAACCTCTCTCCAGCCCTGAAGAGATCCTTGCTCTGTAAGGTTTGTAAGGTCATTATCGGGCTCTTGAAACACTTATACGGCAGGAAAGGGCTGCCCGTCGAAACCCGAAGATTCCGGTGCCGCAACGCGAAGCCCGTTCATACACCCAGCCATGCCCTTCTTTGAAGCCTGAGCCCTAAACCCTATGACCCTATGAGTGACGGTTTCGGGTTCAGGTCTCTTCGTCTCCTGCATGTGGGGTTGAGCCCTCGGCCACAGCAGCCATCCTGGTCGTCAGAGTCTCAGAACTCTCCTGGCCAGGAGTAACCAAAGGCCGCATGAGTCGGTATCCATGTCCCGGCCTCCCCACCTCCATGGAGAGGTCGAGTATTGGCGATGTCACTGTTCTTCCAAGCTTCTGCCAGGGCCCGCCGGGTGAGGAGTGAGAAAGGATGGCATGGAGCTGCGGAACAGCCACCGGTAAAAAAACAAGCCTCATGCAGTCACGAACGCCAGAAAGCCCCGGTGAGCAATTTAGAGCAACCCAAAAAAGCGAGAGATGAGGCAGACCCAAAAAAGGCGGGAGAGCAAGTCAGCTTTGGAAGAGGGCTTACAATAAGCCTCCGAAGCTCTCCTCCGAAATCAAAGCTCATCAGGATGAGATCGGATCTGAGCGGGATTGAAGCCCTCTTGCTCGAAATCGCTGGCGCTTTGCTCGCAGCCATCCGCCGCGCCTCCCTGCCTTTGTGGGCGGGAGGCGTTGATACGATTTGGAGGTTTCCGAGTTGTTTCATGCCCCCCTTTTTTCTGCCGCATCTTGAATCGTTGTAGGCAGAAAGGCTCGAAACCCCCATGGTCGACATACTTTCGCAGGGTGTTTTTTTGCAACTTGCTTCGCGACAGTACTTGTCAGTACTTGCTTGCAGTGTCGGCTTCATGGGCAGCTTTGTGTGCAACTTCTTGGGCGAGGTGCTGATTTGGGAAGCTTCTTTGGAAGAGTGCCAGATCTGCGCGCCTTCTGAAACTTTCTGTAGCTGCCGTAGAATTCGCAGCAACCACCATTCGCAACAATTACTGGCACACGACTCTCTTCAGTGTCCGAAGAGGCCCTCCCACCCTTTGTCGGAAGCAGGCCGCATGAGCTTCCAACGAGAACAGCAGCCCTCTCCACAGGAGGAGCGCAAGCATAGCGAGGTGAGGCACTCCATAGTCGAGAGCCCTGCTGAGGCTAGCAGGTAGATGGCACATAGCTGAAGTTCACGATTCATTGAGAACATCAGGTTCGGGATCTGGTGGGTCTCAAGCCACGATGCTCGCTTTGTCTGAGAGCCAGAAAGCTCCGAAGCATATCACGTCGAGGCGTTTGGCACTAGGCGAGAAAGGTGTCCAGGGCTGAATCACTGAAGTTCAGAAAAGCTAAAGTAAGCAAACCTTGCGTCATGGTATTCACAAGTTATGCGCTGGGGCTTAATCGACTGCAGGCTCCAGCCCTCGGGGTTGGAGCTTGCAGGATGTTGCAGGTCTCCCCTTCTAGGAGCAAAGGCTGCTTTTTCGGAGCTGCCGGGCTGTTGGGAGCGTGGGTGCTGCAATCGACATCCCAGCCTTCAAGAGCAGCTGCTCGCTAACTAGGTCATTTTTCGCTGCTAGGGTGGTGTGCTGGTCGCCGTACAAGCAGCTAAGCGCTGTGGCTACACCAGCCGCAAGCATGGTCTGATCATGAGGCAAAGCCTTGAGAGAAGCCCAGGTGCGCAGCCCTGCTGAAAAAGCCCCTGCCACGTGACCCCTTTGAGTCCTTTGAGCCTCTTTCTGACTGAGGAAGGGAACGAGTGGAGCTCAAGTTCGGAAACGTCATTCCCGTCGAGGTTGATGCATCTGATAGAGGTGTTGGTCTTCAGAGCATCTGCGAGGGCCTGAACACGAGAGAAACTGTGGATTGCAAGCTGCGACGGGAACCATGCAGTAGGGCCTCGCAACCCTCGTGTCCAATGAAATTGTGGTCGAGATCGATGCGTGTGATAGCCGTGTTGATCTTCAGGGCGTCTGCGAGAGCCTGGTGAAGGAAAGCAGGACCGGGCTTGTAAGCCACGAAAACTTCTTGCGCAATGCAAGCGCCTTGCCGCCCTCGTCCCCAACGCCATTTTTTGAAAGGCCGATGTAGGTGGCGGCATGATTGATCGTTAAAGCATCGGCCAGCGCCTGGCAATTTAACACGGGGGTGCAGCTTGCAAGCTGCAGCTGCACAAGTCATCCTGGGCACAGCAAGGCCTTCGCACCCTCGGCTCCAATTGCAGTCATTTGAAATTGGATGCTAGTGATAGCGGTGTTTATCTTCAGAGCATCTGCGAATGCCTCGCAGACAAATTCTGTCGGGTCTGCAAGCTGCGAAGACTTGTGGGATCTTGTGGGCGCTTCGGGCCTTGCAGCCCCTGTCTCCGACAACACTCCGAAGGACGACGATGCTGGTGATGCTACGGTTGACCCTCAACGCATCGGCTAACGCCTCGCAGGGACAAGGGACGGACACATGCTGCAAAGACCCTGTGGCACGTCAGGACCTTCCAGCCGTCGTCTCTGGTTCTGTTCCCGTTCCCGAAGAGCTCGATGGTGGTGATTGCACGACTGATCTTCAACGCGTCTGCTACCGCCTCGGAACTGGGCTCGCAAGTTGCAAAGAGCTCCTGGGCACCACGTTGCCTTGCAGTCCTGGTCATCGATCCCGCGGAGGCGCAGGGTGGTGATGCTGCTATGGGTCTTCACTTGCGATGCGAGCTCCTGCAGCAGGGAAATACTCTGAATTGAGGCATATCGGCCGCTCTGAAGAGAAAACGGGAAAGCAGTCCTGGATTCGCACTCTCCCCGTCCAAGCCTAGGCTGAGTTCGCAATGCTGCCCCTGTGAAAATTGGGGGCTTCAAGAAGTCTCTGCAGGCACTAACGGCCTTGAAAGCTTCACGAGGCCGAGAGTTTTATTGAATTGAACTGTGAGGCCCGCAACCCTTCACCCACGCCTACCGACCCGTTTGCCGCAGCCTGGACGACTCGAGGCACGAAATACCCTGGATCACACCACCGAAACCTGAGACCCTTAATGACAGAGCCGCGACGAATCCGATACTCCTGCCTGGGTCTAAATTTAGGGTCTGGCAGGGCAGTTTTCCCTCCACAGCTCCCTCTCATGTAGGGCGTGTTGGTCCGTAACAAAAATGATCAAATCAGCAACAACATTCAACAAACTACCCGGGTCCGGCACCTCTTTCGCATGTGAGGAACCGATCCAGCAGATCAACCATAACCTGACAAGCCTAGTGCCGCACCACCCCACAACCGAGGAGGGGAACACTTGTAGCCTCTGGGGACAAAATCTTTTCCAAGTTCCATGGATTCCGCGCATCATGGAGCCCGTGTACGATACGCAGAACAAAGCCTCATCTACAGGACCCCACCGGCTGGAGGACGCCAAGGCCAGGGCGTGCTGGGACGTCGTTGCATCTGCGGAGTCCGCCACCACATCTGAGCAGTGAGTGGCGGCTGTGCGAGTTTTCAGAGCCGCATCGATCTCCTGGCAGCAAAATTTCTAGATCGAACACAAACTGACCAAAGTTCGGACACCCACGGGCCTTGCGAAGCTGTTCTTGGATGTTGTTTTTTTGCAGTTTGATGCTGGCGATGCTGTCGTTGGACTTGAGAGCATCTGCGACGGCCTGGCAAGAGAAAGCAGGACCAGGGCTTCAAAGCTACCAAAAACGTCCTGGGCACGGCAGGGCCTTGCCGCCATCGGCCTCGATGCCGTTCATCTCGAGGTTTATGCTGCCGACCGTAGTGTTTGTCTTCAGAGCATCTGCGAGGGCCTCGCATGGAAAAGTGGACCGAACTCAAAGTCCTCCTCGGCAAACGCAAGGCCTTGCAGCCCGCGTCTCCGATGTTGTTCGAGCGGAGATTGATGCTCGTGATGGTGCGGTTGACCATCAATGCATCTGCGAGGGCCTCGCAGGATACACGACTCAAGCTCAAACAGCGAAGGCCTCGTGCCGTGAGCACTGCAGGGCCTGGCTGCCACGGGGCCCGATGCGATTCCAGTTGAGGTCGATGCTGGTGATTCCGCGATTGGTCTTCAGTGCACTTGCAAGGGCCTGCGGGCAAATAGGCCCCGCGGGCGTGCGCGATTTCAAGCTGCAAAGCCCACGTGGGCACGGCAACGGCCTTGCAGCCCTCGTCTCCGGTGTAATTCCGTGCGAAGTTGATGTTGGCAATGGCAGAATTTGTCGTCAGTGCATCTGCGAGTGCCTCGCCAAAACGGCAGCTTGTAAGCTGCAGCGAGCCTGGGGTCATCGCCCCTCAAAGCCTTGCAGCCCTCGGCTCCGATGTCATTGCCCTCGAGGTTGACTGTGGTGATGGTTTGGTTGGCTTTGAACGCACTCGCCAGGGCCTGGCGCTGGGAAAAGACGTGCATGAGCTTTCCTTCAGGTGAACAGTCACTGATGCGACGGACGCGCCTTCCAAAGGGCCTCGCTGCGCAGCTTTGTCATGATGTCGTTCAGCGCGAGGGCCTGAGATTGAGCCTCTTTCAACAAACCTCTGGACACCGACACCTGCAGGATGTCATTTCCCCGGCCTTCTCGTTCCAGAGGGCGTCGGGATGAGACCAAACAAACTCAATCTTCAACTCGGTGATTATTCTGTTGAATTCGAGGGCCTGCATGAGGTCAGCTTTCTCTAAGGCAACCCCTTCCGAGACAGCAGGAGAGGACCCAGCCTTCCCGAACTCTTCGGCCTCCTCATCCCCAACCTCGATGTTGCGGAGGCGCAAGACCTTCAGCTTCTGGTAGTGTTGCAGCGCCTTGGCCAGCTGACTCACCTCGCCTTTCGGCAGGTTTGCCAGCAGCGCCTCTTCGCACTCAGAAACTTTCTCGTGGAAAATCTCCCACTGGAGCTTCTGAACTTCTAGGGCATCGTCTCGATGCGTGAAGGCGGCTTTCTTCATTGCTTCTTCGAAAACTTCTGGAGCCATTGGGACTTTGCCCTGCAGATGGGCCCGTCCGTCGCCAGCCTCCGACTTAGGAGCGTCGATCCACTGGTTCTGTTCGGACTTGCTTCTGCACGAGGACCACTCCACCTCTGCTTTGCACCACCCCCTACTTCGGTAAGGGACTCTGTTGGCGACCAGCTCCTTGAGGGGGCGGCCGCGGACCGTCTTGCTTGCAGCATCATACACCGTCACCAGATGCTCCGAGTCCTGCAGCACGGCGTCCCAAACATCGTCCGGCGTGAGACATTCCAGCCGAAAAGTCCAGTTGCAATCGTGCGCATAAAGCACATGCATGTGACTCATGGACCGTCGGAAGCTCTCCTCTTCTGCGGATGTCTGCCGCTCGAACTGAAAGAGAGAGACGTAATCGTAGAAGACCCAGATCTCCGAGACATAAGCCGCGATTCATCTGGTCGCCACAAGGATCCGGGTGCTCACGGGCTTCCCATGCATGCGAGATCGAGATTATCATCGCATCCCGCGTTCCCGCGGCCCACTCGCTCACCTCCTCGTGGCTCACCAGACCCCACTCTTCCTGGGCGTCATGACGGGATTGAACCACCGGTGGTAAGATGATCAAAGCCTGTCTCAAAGCAGCTTGTCTGAGGTCGGCTCAGCTTCCTGGCGGCGAGGCAGAAGCCTCTTGTCGCTCCGCAGCTGGTACAAGTACCTGCACCAGCACTCTGCGCACAGGCTCCAGGACTCGAAAGGATTACTCACGTGCGTGATCTCTCGGTCAGCCGGGGGGAAGGGGCACTTCAGCCGAACGAGACGGATGTCGGCATATTTCAAGAACGCCGCCATTTGCTGCGGGTCTTCGAGGTTGTATTTGGCCTGGCATGCTCCAAGTGCTGCGGATCCCGTTTCAGCGGCTGGTCTACGGCTACACGAGTCGTCTAGGCCATCGCCACTCGGAAACGAATGAAGCGATGCACATCCAGACGCGAGACTCGAGAATCTAATCGTCTTGCCCCATTCAAGGCATGATGCTTCTGCTGCACGAAGATGAAACAAGCGGGCAGTGCGCTGATCCAACGGCACAACTTGACCCCGTAATTGGGAAAAAACCCAGGCTGCTCTCCGACAAGAAGGAAGCAATCGGGTGCAATGCCAGACAGGGAGGAGACCCGGAAAGCGAGCAAGTCAGCATTGAAAGACTTTTATAAACCTCTGGAACTCTCGCGACTTCGAAGCGAAGAGAAAGGACCTCGTCGGTTTCTCACCTCATCTTCAGCATTCCTGGCACCTCGCTGCGCCTCCCCCTCCCCCCCCGGCTTCCAGAAAAAGCTGAAAGCGAAACTCCAGCTCAAACTCTTCATTTCGACCTTCACAACTCGCACAAGTTCCCATTGTAGGGTTTGCAGGTGCTTCTGGGGTCTACCGCTTAAGACTCTCCATACAGCAAAAGATCGTACAGCGTCCAGAGCACCCAGCCTTGCTCGCAGCCATTTCTCAGGTCTCTGCCTTTTTGCGGGAGGCATCCGATTACACGATGTGGAGATTACAAACCAACTAATAAGGTTGCTTCACAGTACTGCACTGGCCATGCAACAGTTGGAGAGAGTCTAGGCCAGTCTATGCATCGCTTATTGACTTCGAGAAGTGTCTATAGTAAGAAAGGTTTGGACTCGCCACATGCCACCCAGCTAAGTCCTTTGCCTTATTGTCGGCCAACCTCATAGTCAAAGGTATAGCTGAAAGAGAAACTATGTGCTGCCTTATGAGCTTGTCGCATTAATGACAGATCATTTCTGACTTCTGAATTGAAATCCTACTTGCAGCTGAAGGCTCTGGCCTTAAGGTGCCTGACGATGATGCAGAGGGCGTCCTCCACGTGCCCGGGCCACCCTGGCAGAGGAGAAGCGGGCAAGAAACAGTCCTCGCTGGTTTTTGTTGTTCTCCGGTTTGCTCGCTTCATGAAACCCCGCATTGCACTCCGAACACGCGGACGCTACAACAATCGACCCCGAGTCTGCATTTCACCAGACCACAAACCGATCGCAAGAAGCAACAAAGGCGGATGGCTCAGCAGGGTGGAAGAAGAGCAAAATCAGCTACTCCATTCGAGGTCATAAGCAAAAGCAATTCCGGATCATGTCCAGCTCACCAAGAAATCCCCGAACTGGCACCTAGACAGAGCTACAGACCGAGCAGACACCGCTCTGCCTGAACTGCCTGAAGATGATGCCAAAATAATTGCAGGGTTTGGTGTTGGCGTCACCCGCCCTCGAGCCCATGGCACCAGCTGGATGTCCGCATCTTCGAGCAAGTCTGAAAGGATGGCATGGAGCTGTGAAAAGCCACCCGTGAAAAACAAGCCAAATGCAGTCACGAACGCCAGAAAGCCCCGGTGAGCAATTCAGAGCAACCCAAAAAAAAGCGAGAGATGAGGCAGACCCAAAAAAGCGCGAGAGCAAGTCAGCTTTAGAAGAGGGCTTACAGTAAGCCTGTCTGAAGCTCTCCTCCGAAATCAAAACCCATCAGGAAGAGATCGGATCTGAGCGGGATTGAAGCCCTCTTGCTCGAAATCGCTGGCGCCTCACTGGGCTTCTCCTAAGAGCCTCCATGCAGAAAAAGGATAGTAGAGCGTCCAAAGCACCCGGCCTTGCTCACAGCCATCCGCCGCGCCTCCCTGCCTTTTTGGCGGGAGGCGTTGATACGATTTGGAGGTTTCCGAGTTGTTTCATGCCCCCCTTTTTTCTGCCGCATCTTGAATCGTTGTAGGCAGAAAGGCTCGACACCCCTATCCCCAGCGGTCAGGATACAGAACCGGGTGGTCGACATACTTTCGCAGGGTGGTTTTGCAACTTGCTTCGCGACAGTACTTGTCAGTACTTGCTTGCAGTGTCGGCTTCATGGGCAGCTTTGTGTGCAACTTCTTGGGCGAGTTGCGGATTTGGGAAGCTTCTTTGGATGGGTGTCAGCTCTGCGTGCGTTTTGAAATTTTCTTCAGCTGTCGTACAACTTTCTCTGCATGTTCCTCATTGGGCCCTTCATGGCCTTTGCTAATGTCGCAGCAACCACCATTCGCAACACATACTGGCACACGACTCTGTTCAGTGTCCGAAGAGGCCTGCCCACCCTTTGTGGAAGCAGGCCGCATGAGCTTCCAGGAGGAGCGCAGGCACAGCGAGGTGAGGCACTCCATAGTCAAGGGCCGTGCGGCTAGCAGGTAGATGGCACATAGCTGAAGTTCACGATTCATTGAGAACATCAGAAGTTCGGGATCTGGTGGGTCTCAAGCCTCGATTTTTGGCTTTGCCTGAGAGCCAGAAAAGCTCCGAGGCGGATTAAGAAGGCGAAAGCAAGCAAACGTCGCGTCATGGTATTCAGAAGTTATGCAGGCTGGGGCTTCCAGCTCTCAGGGTTGGAGCTTGCAAGATGCTGCAGGCCTTCCCGTTTAGGGATGCTCCTAGGAGCAAAGGGTGCTTTTGTCGGAGCTGCCACGGCAGAAAGGCAAGCCCACAGGCTCCAGCTCAAGATACTTTAAGGGTCTCTGCGTGCGGATTCCAAGGAACCTCAGACTTTGCTGGGGAGTGGCAGGTGCAGGAGGTGAGGTGGGGCCCATCTCGAGGCAAAAGCCATTCCTCTTCGGCACTGTCAAGCCGATGTTCAGCTGCGAGGGGGCAACGGGCTCCGAGGTTTAAAGAACTGGCCGGGCGAAGAAACAAAATCAACAATCTGCATCCTCACTACCTCTCCCTTATCTGCACGCGAAGCCTTTGGTACACAAAAACTCGGCCCTGGTCAAAGAAACTTGGATCGAGCTTAGCACAGGAGAAACAGCTGGTGCCATCACGCTTCTGTGCAAGAGTTCAGGACTCAGAGGGCTCAAGATCCGCACAACTATGGGTCTCTGGGTTTGTGGCAAACCCCAGAAAGTTGGAAACCGGATGAAGGACAAACAGTGCTGGGATTCCCTAGACATGACTCTTAAGGA